CTTGCTTCCTCGTACTTACTCCGCTTCGTGACACACCACTGACTGGTTTAACACAAACCACTTTCTGCCAACGCTCGCCCCTTTTAAACTCCTCGTTTCTGCAGTCTTCTCGACCTTCGATCTTCAGAATGGATCTGACCTTAAGTATTTATTCATAGTGGAAGAACAAATAACAATGGTTTTGGGAACACCACAACCACTACTGACTCTTTTGCTTCTATTGTAAATATAATGTTAAGAAATTACCGTATACGGTTTATTGGCCTATTGGAGTAAGTCATTTGTTTATTGGTGTGTCATTCTTAGATGTTTTGTCAATCATTCAAGGTTAGGCCTAAATGTGAAGTTTCAGATCAATGTGGTTCTTCTGTAGTAATATTGTTACGTGAATTTTTTTAAAAGTGGAATGAGTTCTTTAAGAACTGGCGGCCTCTAAAGGTCTTTGATATGCAAAAACATTTACATTTTAAGCGTAAATAAATGAGACTATGATTAATGATTCATTAAGTCAGTTTTAAGCGATAAATACTGAACTTTCGTACCTGCGGGTCTAGTCCCTTAGATGTACTTTGAATCAGGCAGAAGCCAAATAGAAGACACGTCCATTGATGATTGGTCAAGCAAATTCATGGATACTGCATATATATTAGCATAAGAAAATAACTACTAAAAATCTAAGTGCTACAATGTAATAAACTATTTGGATTAGGAGTAAATGCACTTATTAAACAATGTAGCATTTTAAAACAGGACTATCGTGACAGATGATATCCCATGCTGAAACAAAGCCAAAGCCCATAGACTCACCCTTTGTGGGCGACGCCCATTCCTCATCACCTCGAAACTTTCCAAAATTTGTTAAATCCCAACCTTGGTTCATTCTTTCGCCTAAAATCCAAAAAAAGTTGCATGAGTTTGGCCATTCAGTTCAAACTAAAAGGTGTATTCAGACGCACACTTATTTGTATGAAGATAGTAGAGCAAAGCCAACACAAAGCCACGCAAAGAAAAATAAATTGTCATTTATTTCTAAGCCACCCGCTTCTCACTCTGTTTATCTCCTTCTTCTGTTTGAAGTGCTTATAAACTGCTGCAGCTTAAGTCATTCTTTATTTACTGAAGTTTTATGCAAGAAATAAACTTAAGGAATCAAGGTGTACAATGAGAAGAAACGTGAACATTTTACTGTAAATCAGCTATCTGGTTTGGGATACAGCATGCCTGACATCAAAACCAACTCAAACTAAATAATTTTTGAAAGAAGTCGATTTGTGTATTCATAATAAATACGTACATATAAAAATAAGAGTTGTGCCTTAATAGCATTCAATTTGCTCAAGGTCAAATAGGCAGGACTGAAAAATTGGTAGTGCAGCAATCAAATCAGCTTTCTCGAATCCTTCAGCAAGCGAAAACAACTAATTTTCGGTCATTTAAAAATATTTAGCGGCCAAAACTAAAAATATCCACCCCTTAAAAATAAATGAAATCTGGTATGATTCAGGAGAACAAATTAAAAACGCAACAGACACGATCAATCTCTTACCTATACGTGAGTGCAATTCGTCGCTTAAGTCATTTAAGGCATCTCTGGGTGAAGTTGAAGCAGCCATTAGTAGCGAATGGGCACCAAAGCCAGAACTGGCGTCGTCAAGCATGTCATACTTCTGTCGCATTTGAGAAGATTCGAGCTCCAACAGGAGCTCCTCGTAGCGCAGCGACTCGAGAGCACAACGGCGCTCAGACTCGCGAAGTCGAGTCTAAACAGAGTAGAATATTTTACTTCAGGTAATCACAGTTCTTGGACGAGTCACCCACCCAGTCCACACATAAACGAATGGACAACCTTCATGATTGGATGACACCTTGTAATTTGATGTGAAATCCGAGCTGTGCAGTAATTACATTAGTAATGGAATGCCAAATGAGATTTACGATTTTGTGCTACAGAAATCATCATGCGAATTGTTATGAAATTTGGCAAAATGGATGCAGCCTTGTGACGAGAACGTTGATACTCAGAATTGAATTCAACGTCTGACAATTCCTGTTACACCTATGGTAACTTTACAAATTATTTTGACAATATAACTCACTGTTTTCAATGTTTAGTTCCAAACCCACATCAGGTAGGGAATGACAGCACGTTATTTACAGGAAAGGGTGTTTTGTTGCAACCGTTCAAAGGCTGTTCGCCTTATTAGGTTGAATGCAATTCAGGGTTAAAACATAAAAAAAACTTACCACTGTAAGAGTATCGTTGAATTTCTTCAAGCCATACGATGACTCTAATTCCACTTTTTGGTAAAAAAAGGCCTTACGAAATATTAAAAGTGTGATTTTTTGTCCCTAATTGAAACCTAGAGTATTGGCAGGTTAGTGTGCATATAAAAAAACAGCCTTGCAAATGCAGATCGGTTTACCTAGCGATTTTATATTGTCTTTGAAAAATCTTCTGCAACTTTTGGAAATTACGTGAATTTCGCATGAAAAGGGTTGAAAATTAAAGATAGTGCTGTTGCAACATTTATTTCCCTTACGTATTAGTAAGACAATGACCATTTTTCTTCGCTTTAGTTAATTTTATTCCATAATTATTTCGTCCACTTTCTGATAATAATTGTTTGGATGAGCTGTCAGACACACGTATCCCTCTGTTCGGTACCAAATATATTTTTAATAACTCTGTGTCATATAATTTAATAATTCCTAGTAGAAAACTGTAAATTGCACTATTATGTACCAATTAACCTTTTAACTATTTGTGTAGCTTTGAAGGGTTCCTTACCTTGAGGTTTTCGATGGTGTCCTTGAGTTCGGTTACAACAGGCTACAACAGGAAACAGTCGTTGTCAAGTACTGTTATTGATTTTCCTTGTACCATGTTGTCAGCTATTAAACGTGATTTCCTTGCCTATCGATTCCACAGTCTACATTTACTGCAAACCGGGAAAATAGGACAGGGTAGTAGTGGAGTACGGCCCCCTTACATGCAACTGTTAAGAATTGCAATGACCCACGATCCACCCCCATTCGTCTCCTCGTCTCCACTTCCGATCATGCGACCCTGTGCACATACCTCTCCTGCCACTCGTGTAGCTACATTTGGCAGTTAGTCCCAGTCCCATCGGTTGACAACTTCCATCACTCATTTGACCGGGGACTTTTAAGTACGCAAGAATTTGAACGCTCAACACAAGAAAAATAGGTTGAGCCACTTCTTGTAAACTTCCCGGGTCCCCGCACGGGTTAATCGGGCCAACACTACATGCCGGTCTCAGTGTAGTTTGTTAGGAGGAATTGGTGACCATTGCGATTGTCTAGAAATATCCGAAGGTGAGACATTTTTCCATACATAATTTTACATACAAAATCCAACCAGGCTATAGAACTCGGCTAATACAAACAAGTCACGTAGAATCTCCCGCGCATGCTTCACATATTCCAACCCTAAGCGCCCTTCATGTGTATGCCAATGAGTGTTTCGTTTTCGACGCCGGAAGCCTCGCGGTGACAACAGCCAATTGAGTTCCATAAAGCTAACAGATCCACCCATTAACAGAGCAACTTCATTAGCATTGTTCCCCAAATTTTAGCTCAAAATTGTACATAAAACTTTTAAGGTAGAGATATAAACAAAATGCCCATTTTGCAGAAATTATGCATTAAAACCTAATGTTGTAGTGTATAAATTCAAGCTTACACTTTGTCCTGAAAACTGATGCTTGGATTTTGAGTCAGTTGTAGAGGTCGACTCTATGATTCGGGAGAGCTGGCCTACCTTCTCAGTGATTTGAGCTTTTATGTTGGAATTGTCAAACGTGATTTGTCGACGTCTTTCAAACGACTTTTGAAGCTCCTAGCAAAAGTGATAAAAACGTGCAAACAGAAGAAATTTAACTCAATTCGTCACTCACAACATCATGACTATGGGACGTTACATAATGAACTAGCGGCTGAAACAGTTTAGCTACTCACATCTGGAAGACCCCAGATCAGGCTGCTTTGGAGTTGAGGTTTTGTATAACCTCCACAGTTAACACTCAGTCGCAACCTCCCAATCTCATTTATTATGTTTTGTCATGATGCGATTACAGGTGCGCTTAACCACAACAAACGACGAGCAAAGGAACCAAAAAGCAGCTGTCTGAACAGATTATCACATCTTTAGATCGGTACGTCAGTGAGAACAAGCAGATATTCCGAATGATAAAGTATAGCGAGTTGCAAAATCTAGTTACATTATATTAATCGATGGTGTCTATATCTTAGTCAAAATTAGTCATTTTGACTCAGAGTTTGGTGGAAAAAAGTAATGAGTGTAGGGGGAACAAAAGTAAACTGACACTAATAACGCGTGTTGTGAGTCGCGTTGATTCACACTCGTTAGTCTGATCACTTCAGGTTCCGACACTGGGCCCCCATTTTCGCAGCATGTCGCCAGCCGCGCGGATCCTCAATTCCCCCTCCTTTGCACAGACATTTATCTTGGATTTTCCTCACACCTAGGTCTCGATGTTAGCTCCTCTCTGAATCACACATCCGAGGTATAAATACGCTCTTGAAAAGGCCGCACACGACACGACACTAACTTGGTTGAGCTCTGAAGCAAACGGTTGTGTCTACGTTCTCTCCGGTCTTCTTCTTCATCTCGGGTAGCAGGAAAGCGCAATTCTGCCAGATACAACTCAGTGGCCCCGACGTGGTTTAAGACCATATACTGGGACCCACAAGACGCGTAGGATGCACAAACTTTAAGTTACGGAAGATATTGAGGAATGTGACGGGATGGCAGATTTCAAATCAGCCCAAAGTCATGCAACCTTCTGTGGAAGTGGTTCACAACCGAAAAGGCGACCATTGGAGAAGAAAATTCAAACGTTGTTGTGTTAAAAGAATGCTAATTTGGGTTTGAATAAAGTTCCACCATAACTAGCTAATGTGTCCTTTTCTAAGGTGCCTCACTTGTAATTTGTTAACATAAAATCGCCACATCCACGGAATAATGGCGACTCCCTAGTTATTTACTTGTATATAAAACAGTTAACATTGATGAGGCTAATTTGTGCTGACTACCCCAATCAGAGATCTTGAAACGCTGATTTTTGAAAATCACAGGTAATTCCCACCTGGAGGAGGTTTTCCATTAAGTCTTGAGGAACCAGGCTCTTCTGGTGCAGCAGTTACTGTTGCAACAGCTGCGACGCATTGGCCCTTGCCGGTAGCCAGAAAACCAAACGCAAAACTTGACGATTCTAAAAGACACAAGCCGTAGAAACATTTCTTACTTATAAAACAGGCATTAAAACCCAGAAACGCGAGTAGTTAATTTATCACTGCATTAATTCTGCACTACTACTGACCATTAAGGTACGTTAAAATAATCGTTTGTTATACGCGAAATTCAAAAGTGTAAGTTGAATATACATTTAGTTTCGCAAGCTTCATCAAACTTATTTTGTTGTCATTGCTGTTAATTCAAAGTGGGTTTGAACAAACTCAGGGCCTAGCTAAAAAACGTGATGTTTACTTTATATATAACAGGCCGAAATTTATGACTAATATGTTACGCTAAAAAACAAAATTATAGTGACGATATTTCACACAGTTACATTATTTGATTAAAACTTAATAGAGGTGATTCGCTAATCTGTCCGAAGGGTATTTGACCAAAACACCTTAGGTTTTCCCATGTTTCCTTAAAATACACCTACCATGTATCTATTCGATGCACTCCTCTTGGGGTACAAATATATGGGACGACTTACCTGTCATGAAATTTGTTTCAGATTCGTAAACCACTTTCTAATAGTACTTACTTGTCAGAGTGAGAACAATTAAAACATGAATCCAACCAAAACCATAACACCAGATCTCGAGGCAATCTGTAACTGCATTCTTAATATATAGGCGGGAGAATTGATACGGTGTACCACATATTTGCTTATCGGTAGAAACTGCCTTTGCAAGCAAAGATTCTTATTCGCATCATCAGTTTGACATCAAACAAACACACCTGTGATAAATTAATTCCGGGTTTTTCTTACCAGACAGTCCTAGCTTTGATGTTTCTAACCGAACTGTTATTTGTGGGTTAATGTATTGTTGTGATGTCACAGAACCCGAAAAATATGCAATCTGAATGCCGTGATCTCATCTATTTTTATAGAAGCATTTTGTATTGCAAATCACTTTAAGGTTTCCCAAATTCAACACCCACACACATACAGCGTTAGCCAAAAGCTCACGAAATGTGGCTTTTTATTACTTTCAGACATTCATAGCTTCAGTCCGGTCTTAGTAAATTTAATTTGCAAAAATAGCTCTGATCAAAGACTTTGTTGAATGATGAGGCAATGTCACAGATAGGCTCTTCCTCCAGAGGTCGTCCCGAGATCAAAATAACATTAAGTGATTAGATAGTCTATTTAATCCTAGAAAAACAGATGAGACGGGAACGATGACCACCATTAAAATACAGTTTAAATTACCCAAAGTTTGTGTTCTAACTGCAACTCAGCTTTGAGTATGTCTTATCAAAATTAACAGGTCTGCAGGGATTTGCAGGTAAAAAACATGAGCATGCCTTGTATACTTTGAGTATTTTTTTGAGTGAAAACTAAATAGTACATGTTAGAGTTCGATTTTTAGGGCGAGAAAATGTGCCCAATAGTCTGGCATTTTTAAAGGATTTTACTACATAAGCTACATGTATCAACTTGTTTCTTTCATAAATGAAATCGCATTTTGCATTGCTGCGTTAAATTATGATGACATTTAAACGAGTCGAGCATCGAAAATGGGAATAAATTAGGTTTAGCAGTGTATTTGAACAAATTGAGGTTAATCAAATTCAGATTTTATCCTCCAATTGTTGTATAACCACTAAATCCGTAGGTAACTATCCATTCACGAAGCGAATCAAGTTCGTTACGTGAATTAAGCTGAAATTCGGTGTATGGCCCGCGCCACAAACTCGAATGATACGCCCCCTAGTTTGTCTTAAAAGTTTTATTTGATTTATTGAAAGTTTTTGCTAAATAGATTAATAAACATAATTTTGCCTTTCACAAAAGATGTGAGTTCCACTTCCCAGCCTCAATAAGGATAGCATAGGATGTTTCTCTGATTCCACAGAATTTAGGTGATAATAACGCTAAGCATTTAAAAAAATTCATCAATATTGGTTTAAAATTGATGTGTGAACCTGACCGTCTGTGCTTCCTGCTTTTTGTAAAATCATTTTTTCAAACTACCTCACAAAACTCCACCAGATTAAGCGAACCCGTATTTTCAGAATCTCGTTGTGATTTTAAATAAGTCTGTGAAAAAGCCAACGCATTCTGGAAATGATTTAGACGGCCAAACAGATAATTGGAAGGATGGCTGTGAAGCGCAGGCACACTGATTCAGTGAATTTTAAAATCTATTTATAAATTACCTTTCCAGAAAATGTGCAACCCAACTTGCGGCCTCAAGTGTTTACGGGAAAACTTTCCGTTGTGCGTTATCAAGAGGCCTTACACGAGGTTTTGTTTTGGCCAGTTAAGCGGAAAAGCAGCGACCTTAACGTAAAACACGGACAAAATAATGTTACTCATAATAACTGACTTCTACTTGACTAAAAGTGGTAAGTGGATTTTCTTTATGTTCAGAAAAACTGAAAAATTCCATTTACATTAACCTATGAGGCGAAATGAGTTAATATTTTGTCTGTAAAAATTCATAAAATTACCTCAACCGATAAAGTTATGGTTGCAAACCAAGAAAGACATGGCTAGCGTAAGTTCATATGTTTAGGATTGAACTTGCGTGTAATATAATTCGATGAAGGACTAAATGTGGCGTAGGTCATTTTAACCTCACCGAATATTTAGGTCGTGACCTATAGGGAGGCTGTGAATGCAATAATTTACACCAACACATAAAAATGACACGTCATTTAGATAAATGCTTTACTTGCACAATTCCATAGTTTCATTTCTGATGCTTTAAAATGTCTTCCTTAGATGGAAGGAATCATTTCAATAAAAGCATTTTATCGTTTGATCGGCAAGACGATATCAGCTATCGAGCAGGGGTAAACTCAACCATGTAATTTAGGCCACAAACAATCACACCAATTTATTAGATGCGAGATCGTACTTCACATTTTCTTACTAAATGAGTGTGCAGCATAACTGATCGTCAAGGTAAAAAGTTTGCTCCTAGATCAAACTGACTATAGTTATTAGCTGTAGGTATCAATGCAAATTTCACTAATAAAACGATTTGTCTTAATTAATAGTTAACCAATTAACTGTGAAACCTGGAAGTATAAATAGGGTTCTAAAAACGGCGGTTTGCTTTGTGAGCACCCGATCAGATACGAAGAGGTTGTTAATGAAAATGTATGCACCGTATTATGAAAATTGCCAGGGCACTTCAGGGCTGGTCAAAGAATTTTGAACAAGAATCTGGAGGGGTTTTCGTTTAGAAACAAAGCTATTTGGATAACCTCAATGTGAAGTGATTCAGTTCGGCCGCTGTGGAGTTGGTGACAAATTCAGGCATTAGACGGGGCACAATGTAGGTGTGCGTAAAACTGTCCTACTAATCATTTCCGCAACATTAAAACACCTATTAGAGGCTTAATGCTGTTCGTAGTGATCCATTTCGGTTATCACGCCTTAATTTAGCAATGTGACGATGTCTAAAATTTAGAGATCCCAATCTACATTCCCGCAAATTGAAGTGCTTTTCGAATGCACGTAGTTTAGCAGAACTGCGAAAAATGTAATGCACTCAAATCAAAGAAATGAAAATAATTTTCCAGAAGAGGATTTTTCTAACACAATAAAACTTTAAGTTAGTTAGAAATAAAGACAACGACCACTTTCGACAGCTACTGCTGAACTAGCAGCAGATGAAGTGCACCGGGCGTAACACGACATTGTCTAAGCTACCACGCAGTATGTGCGACTTAACTGATTAAAACTGCATACAAGAAACAACATATTCAGAAAGGATGATAGAAGTGTCACTAGGACACTTAAAATTGCATTTGTTCAAGTGCCATAATTGTTTGACAATATTTTTCAGTACTTGAAGTTCGTTTACTGTTGGCCCCAAACGTCTTAAACATTCATAAACGCGGAAAAAATTTAACATCCACATGACTATATTTGTTCACCAAGGTCCCTTTTATTCACCCGCTAGAAATGATGCTGCGGTCCTCTACTACTAGGTTTTCCCTGCAAACATTTGCTTGGAAACCCACGATCCTCACTATAATTTTGACAATTGATTTGTAAATGACATTCGGTACCAGCTCCTGTTGTTTTCTAACAAAAGTTTTGCTTTACCATGGTCACATTTGTTAGCGGCGTTATGATAAAAATTTAGTGAATGAACAAGTAAGGCATGGAAAATGTTTGTCACTAAAATGATTAATTCAATTTCATAGCAACTTTTGAAGATATTTGATTTATGGCACTTTTTTAATAAAGCAAAATTTAGGAAATGCGCACATTCTAACTTTTAAGTGTTTATAAATTAAAGTAATATCTTAATCGTTTAATAATAGGGCTTTGTAAAACTGCTTAATTATTTTTTCTAAAATATTTTAGTTTCTTAGTTTTAAAGTAGAAAAAAGAACTAGGAATGGTGAAGGGAAATCAGCAGGACGTATCTGCAACATCATAAAGCGCTTACCCTTTACAAATCATACTCTCTTTAAGTTAAAGACAAATCTCCATGGTACAGTAGAGAAAATGTATGCAACTGCTGCATTGCGGTGTTCTAAATAATAAGGGACCTAGTTTCATGACAGTTCGGATTGTTCAGCGAAGAATGAGGGTTGCTAAACTGCCACATGTTTCTTTTACAATTTTAGGGAGAAACGGCACGAATTAGATACAGATGTCCCGAAATATCAACACATTGGTTATCATTCAAATTAACGGACCAAAAGGTGTTCATTAAATCATTGTAGATTGTTACGTGCCTGTAACCAAACCCATAACTCCAAGTTTAGTTAGTCGACCTTTATGTAACTAAAGTGATTTGGGACTCGTCCGACAAAACTGTCCGTACAAAAAGGAATTCTATACCCTTTTGAATCAAAACATAAAGTTTAATTGTTTAAAAAGAATTTTGGAGACCCCAT